AAACAACAGTAATCATCTATTAACCGTACTGACAAATCAATAGTCAATAGCTATCAATACCAACAGCACATGCATATGTATGTGTGCGTATATGTGTGTATATATACATATACAGTATGTACATGTATATATATATATATAATATGTATGATATCTGTATAGGTTATAGATTATCTATCTCTATTGAACATTATATGTACGCATTTATTTAGATGCACATACACTCATCAACAGGATCCTCGCCATCCTCATCGCCATCCTCCCCGACCATCTTGTTCCTGCTAGCCGCCCTTCTCATACTTACCTCTCCCGTAAACCCTACACCCTAAACCCCTAAACCGTGGACCCTCCTTTTCCTTGTCTTTGCCTGCTCCATCATCATCATCATCGCCATCATAATCATCATGATGGCATTGAGGCTTTGGTCACCTGCTTCTTCATCGACACGCCCACTGACCCTGCGAAGCTCTTCCAGGCACCCTGGCTATGAACAGGCAGTCTAGAAATCCATCTTCCATGCAATTGTTGTGGAACCTTTTTACAGACTGTGACGGCCGTACAGCTTATGACACTTCCAGAACCCCATTTGACTAAGTTTCGAAATCTGAACCCTAGAATGTAAACCCCGAGCCTTTCTCCCAGTAACCTAAACCCAGAACTCTGCAAGACTAATCTCTGGGCAAGGTGATGGATGGACTTTTGGGTGATGGAGGCGTCTGGGTGAACATAGGGCCGCTGAACTGGAAGAAGGAGGCCCGGCATGTGGGAGTTTCTGGCTAGTTATTCCTTGCTTTTGTCAACAAGCCCCGTATGACGTTGGGTTCTAGCGGTGCTGTCTGAGGCAGGTACAGTGTTTGACAGGGTTTGTAGGTTTCCATAAGCGGCTCCATAGCAATTTGTTGAGCGTGAGAGGTCCAGGATCTATGGGCTTCGCCGGTTCTCGGCCTTCCTTTGTAGCATGCTTGTGGGTCTCGCTCTTACGAGCCCGACACATTGAAAAGTGGAGTTTCTTGTCTGGTTTAAGGGCTTTAGGCTTTCCAAGAGGTTGTATGCTCACGGACGAAGCATCAGTAGGTAATGTCCCTTTGCTCCAGTACAGTAGAACCTAAACCCTAAACCCTAAACCCTAAACCCTAAACCCTAAACCCTAAACCCTAAAATCATCAAGAAGGAGGTCGCCGAGACCAAGGGCTGAAGCTGAAGTGAGAGAATTGCGAGGTTAGGCGTCTCGATGGCTGTTGAGGTTTGTGGGGCGGAGTTTATGCGGTTCGTCGAGTGGAGTAACATGTAGGGGTGAGTCAATGCAGGAGATTACTGACAGGGTGCCGTTGACTTGCAATCGCGGGATGATGTGCGGCTCTCTGCGCGACACAGACACGCAACCCACATTGCTTTACCTTGTGCGTCTTCATCTTTGTCTCGCTAGTGTTCGGTTCGTAGCAATTAACAAAGGGATGGGGACCAGAAGCAATGACAGACTGAGAGTAGCTGAATGAGGAGCAGTAGCAGTGGCCAGCTATTTCTGGAAGTATCCTGAAGCTCGTGATCGCATGATTGCTATCCCGTCGCCTTGTCGTCGTCGATTCTGCCGTCGTCGATGTCGTCATCGTGGTTCTCGTCGCTGTTCTCACGTCGTCGTCGTCGGGTGGTTAGTGCTGGGGTACATAGGCGCTAGCCATCGCTAGCCGCTAGCCTCAAACCCTGCTCTTGAATCTAACAAAACCTAACCCCCAAACCCTGAACTGCACCCTAAAGCTTCAAAGCCCCAAACTCTAAGTGAAGTCCTACACCCTACACTCTTCAACCCCCTATCAAAAATCGCAGACCCTAAACCCCAAAGTCCAAACTTGAATCCAGAAGCTGTCAGGCCCGACTCAAGCTCAACTTCGACGAAATCGCCCGGAGCTCTGACCGTTCCTTTAAAGGGCCGCCCGGGATCCTTTCAGAGATACTATATGGGTTTAGGGTTTAGGGTGTAGGGTTCTCCTTGAAAACGGGCCCGGGATCCATGTATGGGCAGTTCTCTAAGTTAGGCCCTTCTTTTGGATCCCCAATATAGTACGGCACCCTTACAAAGGGACCCAAGAACAGGCCCCAATGTAGAGAAGTACTCACAACTGTAAGGGTTCTATTGGGGTCAAGGGATACTAACCGGGATACTATAAAGGCTCCGTAAGGTTCCTATAAGGGATACTAGAACGGATCTGATCCAATAAGACATCTATTAGGGGTACGGGTTTCGGGTAGAACATCGGAGCCTAGGTGCTGACCAGCTTTGCTTGTTCTCTGTGTGAGAGCCACCACAGCGATAAGAGAAAGCCTGAACCTCCCCAAACCCCTAAGCCCCTAGGCCCCTAAACCTTGCTGTAAGCCCAACATTTAAGACGAGTTTCGGTCAGTTTTGTTTGCATCGGGAGACGTAGGATCTAGGCCTTGAAAGAGTGACAGAAAAGAACGTCCAAGGTTGGCATCTTTCAGCGCAAAGGCTATGAGTTCGTGACGCAGCCCCGTGGCGAGAGTCACCCTGCAGGGCTCTCTTAGGTCCGAGTGGCGTCATGTATCAGGAGACGGGGTTTGCATTCCTCCCTCAAGACAAGACGAAAGCGAGCAATTGGAAAGGAATTGTAGCAAAAGGATATGGTTTCTAGCTCCCGTTCCGATGCTATCACCAGCAAAGTCGAAAACACAACAACACAATTGCAAAAACCGGAAAGGAGTGTAAAGGCAAGGGCAAGAGTGCTAGCCAACTAAAACACATTGCAAACACATCGCAGTCAGACTTACCGCCATAGTTGCCGGCGCAAGAGCACCTACACAGTGTTCGACCTGGCAATACTGTCATGTTTCGCGCTTGTGCTTCGTGCTTCGTACGGCCACAAACTCGCGCCTGTCCGATCGAGCCAGGGGCTTGTGCCATTGCTACGGTTAGCGGCTTTAGCCTACAGCTGTCGCAGCTTATAGAAGCCCTGTCAATGCTGCTGAGGAAAAAAATGGAAGTGGACTACCATATGCCTCGCGGCGACAAGTCCCCGTCCCAGTGGTTGTCCGCACGGCCACATGGCCAGTACTGTTCCCCACATCCTCATTCCCTGTGACATCCGAGGATGTATACGGAGTCCTACAACGTCGCTCTTACTGCCGCGGTCAAGCGCAAGCGAGACGACCAGCAGGGATCTTCGCCATGAGGGGGTTGTCAACACAGAAGCCTGAACAATTGCTCAAAATTGTTTCTTTGGGTTCCTTATTATGACAGTACAATAATAATATAGTCAGCCCCCGAACCTTCTGCAATTTGTAAAGCCCTTTGCGTTAGTGACAAAACCCGAGTTCCCCGAACAAATCCACGGCTTTCTATAGAGACATCGGGACCGTACTTGGAGGTAGGTGGGAGCTATAAGTAGAGCTTGGTGCTCCTTAGCCGGGGGTATAGGTATCTGAGGGTTTAGGGTTTAGGGTTTAAGAGTTTAGGGTTTATGGGTATCTATACAGTGCAGGAACCCTGTTTACAACTTCCTTAAGTCGTTGGTCCTTTGTTTCTGCACAAGAACAGTCCCACTGAGATGGCGAATTGCCCTGCAATCGAGGGGCAGCGGTTCAGGGACCCGGAATTTAGCTCAGTTGGTCATTGGGTGTGATTTTCGGGTCTGGGGTTTTAGCTTTTAGGGCGTAGGGACTGTTGGTTTTTGAAGGTTCTTGGGGCTTATAGGGGGCTTGCTGGTAGGTTCGAGGCTCCGTAGGTATGTAGCTTTAGGAAGCTTAAGAGGGAGGCAGAGGGCCCGACATGAGGGTTCGTGGCAAGAAATACCCTCTTTACTTTCGAGGGTTTCGGTTCAGGGTTTAGGGCAATACCGTCTTACTTCGTGGTTAACCTTCCCAGCAGCCAGTTTTCAAACACCCTGAGCCCAGAGCCCTAATTCCCGTCTTGTCGCTGATGTTGGGCCCCTCTGCCGCCCCAGAAAAGACTGTACATACGGCCGACGCACGGGGAGCTGTTTCAGCTCTCCTCCAAGGATGCAGGCGACGGGGTGGTCCAACAAAGCGGTGCCTGCAAACGATGGCATAGGCTGCTGCTGCTGCTGCTGCTGCTTCTGGTGGTGCTGCTGCTGGTGGTGCTGCTGCTGCTGATGTTGGTGTTGACGACGATGATGATGATGATGATCATGATCATGATCATGATGATGATGATGATGATTTAACGGAGATGCTAGTGATGGCGGCGACGATCACGACAGTCATGATGATGGTCATGATGTTGATGGGAGTGATGGTGTTTTCATTGTTGAGTGTGATGAGGCAGAAGACCACGCTCAGGATTATCTTGCCGATTCTTGTGGTGTTGACGATGGTAATGATGCTAGTGGTGATGATGATGACGATGACGCTGATCACTGCTGCTGCTGCTGCTGCTGCTGCTGCTGCTGCTGCTGCTGCTGCTGATGATGGCCATGTGATAGTGTTGATCTTGATGACAATGAGGTTGATAATGATGACGATGATGATGGTGATGGTCGTGATGGTGGTGGTGATGATGGTTATGTGATGAGACTGCAGTATCTTGCTGTTGATCCGTGAAGCCTCCAATACTATAGCCGTCAAGCCCTAGGTGTCTAGACCTCAACATGTAGTCCTGAGCCCTAGACCTTGTTCCCCAACGACGCTCTGATCTTGTGGGACCCTGATGGACCCAGGCTTGGCTCTTGTTGAAGCGAGCTTTTCTGAAATCCTCATAATAGTGGAAACATGTTGTTTGCCATGTATCCGCGTCATGGTAGCTCAAACGAAGCCCCATAGCAAGAGCCCAGGAGCTCGAAGCCCTAAATGCCAAATGCCTTGAAGCCCCGGTTACCGAAACTTCGCGTGCAGAATCCTTTTTCGTATCCCTCACAGTGATCCCGTATAGTAACGGTTACAGAACCCTTTTGGTATCCCTTGTAGCAACCCTTCCCGTGTAACAAAAACCCTAAACCCTGAACCCTGAACCAAACACCCAAAAAAGTGAGGTCCGGGAGCTCCAACGGCGCCTCACGCAAGTCATCCTCGGTGTCGGGCCGGAGGCGGGGTTTGTAGGGTTTAGTGAGTTTAGTGTTTCGGGTTAGCGAAGTTAAGGTTTAGGGTCTAGGGCCCGCGGTTTAGGGTTTAGGGTTTAGGGTCTAGGGTCTAGGGAGCCGTAAAGTAGAAAGTAACTATCGCTTCGTGGGGCCGCTTTGGTTCGTTTTCGGTTGTGCGCTGTTTTTGTTTGTTCGGGGCCTCGAGGGTTCTGCATGGCTTCGGAGGTTTGTATTCGGTATGGAGGTTCGAGGAAAATTGTGGTAAATCAGGTAGAGAACAGGAGCAGTTGGAAAATGGGAAGAGGGACAACGCCCGATGGAAACGCCATTTTTAAAAGTAATATGAATGAAAAAGAAGATGTTGATACAATAGATACAGGGTTTGGTTCAAGAAAGGCTACACCAGAAGAGAGATTAGAAATATTAGACAAAGCGGTAGAGGAGTTAAAAAGACATCGTAATTTAAATAGTATGGATTAACATTTAAAAGTTTAACGATGAAATACAATGACAGATTAAAGCCATAAGGCTTTTAACTATTGGATTTGAAATCTATTTTTAAATCCAGTCAGTCTAAGTGTTCCCTATGTAGTTGTCGTTTCACATTGGATGGGCTCACGAAAGGCAAGTAGTGTTGGAACATTCAATAGCACCACATAAGATGGTGCTTAATTAGTTTGTTGAAGCATTAAGTACTTGGCTTTATAATTTTTATTATAAAGCGAATTATACGACCATATACACTGATAAAACTATAGTATCATTCTCTAATGGTTATGATGGATTTTGTTATAGTTTTTTGGAAGTAAGAGCTTGTCCGGTATGTAAGGTATGTAAAGAAATAGAAAATTTCATAAGCTTACAGAAACACAAAGATTACAATATTGTATGTAGGAGATGCTTAGATAGGCAGAGTTCAGAGCGCAAAGTTTTAAAAAGTTTTAAAAAATAATCTAAAACTTTATATGAGCGATATAGATGATGTTAATAAGACCGAAGCGAAAGCAACAAGATTTCAACAGATATTAGATAATTTAGAACTGATTGACAAAAAACTTGATGAATTAAGCAATAAACCTAAGCAATACAATAAACCAATGGATAAAGGAAGCGATGTTTATAAAAATAAAAGAAGTGTCTATGTCAATAAAATAAACAACTGTGAAATAAAACAACCGAAACAAGAAACATTGGATTATTACGGTGTTAAATTTGATGATGTCAAGAGAGAGTATGTTTAGATATTGTATTTTACCAAAACCATATTTCACATAACTCATTTAAAGAATTAAGAACATATATACTAATGACAGAAACCTTTGGATATAAAAGCAAACAAGTGATGATCTGAACTTGATAAAGAAGTTGTGAATACATTAACCGACAATATACCATATATTGAAAACTGCGTGATGACGACTTATGTAAGGAATGGAAAACTATTTGTTGAAATTATAGACGGAAGAACAGTAGATATTATGAGAAGAGAGGAAGAAAAGAAAGTATGTCCGGATTTGCACAAATAGCATTTTACTAATTAGTTTTAGTAAAATTCTATGTAGGGGGCGCGAAGCTTGGAGAGTTGCTACTCTCCATCATGTCCCAGTTCAGGGTTATTGGCTTTAGGGAGGTTTTTGGATTAGGTGGGGTGTTAGGTTTAGGGTTTATCATTTCCGAGTTCAGGGTTAGGATATTGGTGATATTATGGTTAAGGTAAAGTATTTGGTAGGTAGTTATGGTTTAGCGGTTTTGGTATAAGGTTTGGATTGGGTGGTGGTTTTAGAAATGGTGTAAAAGCGTAGG